TTCACAGCCTGTGACCTGTCCATGACTTTTACTATATACCCATAACTAAAACTTGGGCTGGGGGTCCCAAGTGCTCTGTGGGGGTGGCCCAGGGTGCTGTGGGGGTGGCCCAGGACCTTCACTGGTGCCTAGTGGGGGTGGGTGGTGGCGCTTGGCCCAGAACCCCCGCCCCTGGTGCTGGCGGGGAGTGTGTGTGGGCGGCGGCGTGCAGTCCAGGACCCTGCTGGTGCTGGTGGGGGGCGGGCAGCGCACAGCTCAGGACCCCTGCTGCTGCTGCTGCGGGGGAGGATTGGCGGAGTTGGAAGGTTCCCTACCCAGCTCCGACAGGCATGTTCCTGCAGCTCCTAGGGGGAGGGGCAGCCAAGGGGGCTCCGCGTGCTGCTCCTGCCACAAGCCCCGGCTCCGCAGCTCCCATTGGCCAGGAACTGCAGCCAATGGGAGCTGTGGGGGTGATGCCTGCACGGACATGCTGGTCGGAGCTGGGGAGCCCTCCCCCTGAGGTAAGCACCGCCCCGCACTCCAGCCCCGAGCGCCCTCCCACATACCCAAATTGCTGCTGCTATTGCTGGCCCAGGGGCTGACCAGCTCAGGCAGCCCCTGAGCTAGCACTGGCCACTGCAGAAGTCACGGAGAGTCATGGAATCTGTGACTTCCGTGGCAGACACACACCCTTACTCATAACACAAGAACTAGGGGTCACCAGATGAAATTAATGTGCAATAGATTTAAAACAAACAAAAGGAAGTATTTTTTCACACAACGCACAGTCAACCTGTGGAACTCATTGCTAGAGGATGTTGTGAAGGCTAAGACTATAACAGGGTTCAAAAAAGAACTAGATAAGTTCATGGAGGATAGATAGATCCAACAATGGCTATTAGCCAGGATGGGCAGGGATGGTGTCCCTAGCCTGTTTGCCAGAAGTTGCAAATGGCTGACAGGGGATGGATCACTTGATGATTACCTGTTCTTTTCATTCCCTCTCGGGTACCTGGCATTGGCCACTGTTGGAAGACAGGATATTGGGCTAGATGGACCTTTGGTCTGACCCAGTATGGCTGTTCTTATGTTCTAAAGCAGTGTAGATACAAAAAGGCAGTGACATCATTACCTCCCTTCTGCTTCCCACTGATGGAGCCAGCAGCTTCAAACCCTTTTAACGCAAGGGATGCAGTGGACTTTGGAGGCTGGCTGCAGTAGTGAGATCAGAGCTACAGAAAGGATCCCTGCGCATTCCCAACTCAGGTTGTCAGCACAAGAAAGTGAGTGTCATCACCCCAGAGGCCTTCCATGGATACCAGTGCATGGCCCAAGTGACTATCTGGAAGGCTTATCCAGCCAAAGTGACTCTGTGACCAGAGACCAGGGAAACTTGCATTATTAGCATGAATTATTTTTACTGCAGTAGTTCCAGAGGCCCTGTCAGGAATCAACACCTCTCTGCACTGGGCTCTAGCCATACACAATAAAGATGGTCCCTGCCCCAGAGGCCTTACTAACTCACTAGTGTAACTGAAACCAAATTAAAACCCGATTTACACTGATGCAAACCTCTGGGAGGACACCCTTCTATCAGTGTAAGAGCAATTATAGTGGCTTAGCTTGGTCCCAAATATCTATCAACACAAGCCAGACCTCTAGAAAGTTGGTAGCATAGTGCCCTCACACAAATTTACATCCAGTTAAATCATTTCATGTCACACCTTTAGCTCCTGTAGCTTTTAACGTTGACCAAGCCTAGGTAAGGACTGGTTACCACACTAGCCAACGCCATCCCCCAAATGGATTTTAATTCACACCCTTAGTCATTCTGTCTGTGGATGAATGCTCATTTCGGATGAAGTGTCCTATTTGAATGTAGCTTTAGGCTTGCTCTACACACAGACTTGATACTGGGAGAACTATTTCTGTCAGGGAATATTACTCTACCCAAATAGTTAAATCAGTCCCCTACTGTGGATGCAGTGAGATTGGTATCAAGGTGCCATATTGCAGTAGAGCTTATTCCGCTTTCCACACAGGAATAACCAGACACCGCTATACCAGTATAACTGCATCCACACTGCAGGGGTTGTACCAGTTTAACTCTGTGGGTAGATTTCAGAGTAGCAGCCGTGTTAGTCTGTATTCGCCAAAAGAAAAGGAGTACTTGTGGCACCTTAGAGACTAACAAATTTATTTGAGCATAATGCATCCGATGAAGTGAGCTGTAGCTCACGAAAGCTTATGCTCAAATAAATATGTTAGTCTCTAAGGTGCCACAAGTCCTTCTGTTTTTTCTGTGCGTAGAGTTAAAGGAATACAACTTTTGTTTGTAGACAAGGGCTAAACCAATTTTTTACCAATTTAAATTAAATCAAAATAGGAAAATAGGACACGATCTGTGACAGGAGACTCCACCGTAGAGTAGCACAGAGAGCACTGGCCAGTTGTGAGGTGCTTAAAGCTGCTTTGCACCAGAGCAGCAGGAGTGCACATCACTGCTCCCCCTCCCCATCTGCACGGTCCCTGTATGGGCACCCACCCACCTCTTTCCCCATTCCCTATCCTGCAGTGTCTCCAGACCTCCTGCAGTCCCTGTGCAGTGGATGTGGTGCAACAAGTAGATTTGGAAAACAGGACGAAGGCTGGGGGCATGTTCTTCTGCAGAGAATGCCACGAAAAAGGACCTTCTTCAAAATGGCCACCAGCTCCCTCAGGAAGCACAGAGAGGGAGGGAGGGGAAGGCTGGCAGTAACCATCTTTATTAAGGGCAACCTGTGGCACCAGTTCTATTGAGAATACCAGCAATGGCGGCCATGTTGAAAAAGGGCAATTCTTGGCATGTATCCATACAGGAGGAAGGCTGGGTTCTGGACAAGAACAGGGAAATGGCCATTACTTCTAAAAACACCCCTTCCACAACTAGCCATTGCGCCAGTTCTTGGCCACTTCTCCGCCACGCTTGGCGCGAACAGGCCATGGCGGGGCTGAGATCAGGCTTGACAAGGCCCTGGCTGGGATGATTTAACTGGGAATTGGTGCTGAGAGGGGTGGAAGATGACCTTCTGGGGTCCCTTCCACCTATATCATGATTCTGATGATCTAGTAGGGACAAGCAAAGGGCTGACGCACAGCCCAAAGGACCCCTTTCTGGACGAATGTCAACAGCCATCGACTCTGGACTTCTTTGTACATCCTCAGAAAGTGGGGAGGGGCGGAGGGAGCGTGGGGGTGCCATAGCCTGGGCTGGAGGGGGGGTCTGGGCGCAGGCCTGGGGGTCAGGAGGTGGGAGAGGAGGCTGCTGGGCTGGGAGGTTGGGAGCGAGGCCAGGAAGGTGTCCAGAGCTGGGCTGGGGGGAGAAGTTGGGCTTGGGGGTGTGGGGGGCTCGGCTGGGGTGTCACTAGAGGGGCTATGGGGCAGGGGGTTGATGGGGTGAGAGGCGGGGCAGGGCCAAGGGAAGGGGTGTCGGGGGGGTATTGAGGCACGGGGCTGCTGGAGGCAGGGGGAGGGTGTTCGGGAGGCTGGTCCAGCCCGGGGCAGCCGCCCTGTCCTTGGCTGAGCCCTGCCCCGCCTGGGGTGCGGCTGCAGGGCAGCAGGAGGAAGCGGCGGCGGTTCCGGGCACAGATCGCGCGGCTCGGAGCCTGCAGCAGCCGCCGCCGGCAGGAGCGTCCGGCGGAGGGGGCGGACCCGAGGGGCGGTGAGTGCCCCGAGGGGAACCCACACCCGGGCCTGCTTGGGTCCCCCCGCACCTGGTCCCCTTCTCCCCCCCCCCGCGACCGGCACCTGGTCCCCTTCTCTCCCCCCCCCCCCAGTCCGGCCCCCTGGTCCCCTTCTCTCCCCCCCCAGTCTGGCCCCCCTTCTCCCCCCCCCCGCGACCGGCACCTGGCCCCCTTCTCTCCCCCCCACCCCCCGCGACCGGCACCTGGTCCCCTTCTCTCCCCCCCCAGTCTGGCCCCCTTCTCTCCCCCCCCCCCCGCGACCGGCACCTGGCCCCCTTCTCTCCCCTCCCCAGCCCCCCCCCGCGACCGGCACCTGGCCCCCTTCTCTCCCCCCCAGCCCCCCCCCCGCGACCGGCACCTGGCCCCCTTCTCTCCCCTCCCCCGCCCGCGACCGCGCCCGCCTCCCCCCGCGACCGGCGCCTCGCCCTCTCCCCCCCCCCGCGACTGGCGCCTGGCCCCCTTCTCTCTCTGCCTGTTTTCCTGGCCCGCGGGCAGGCACTGGCCCCCTTCCCCCCCCCCCCCCACCACCACAGGCCGGCACCTAGCCCCCTTCTCTCTTCCCGCTTCGCACCTGGCCCCCTTCTCTCTCTTCCCCCCCCCCCCCCCCGCGACCGACACCTGGCCCCCTTCTCTCTCCCTCCTGCCCGCCTGGCACCTGGCCCCCTTCTCTCTCCCTCCTGCCTGCCTGGCACCTGGCTTCCTTCTCACCGCCCCCCCCTCCAGCCAGCACCTAGGCCCCTTCTCTCCCCCACCCAGCCCCTCTTTTCTAACCCCCCCACGCACCCAACACCTGGCCCCCACTATCACCCCCCTCCCCCACATCCAGCACTTGGCCCCCTTCTCTTCTGTCCTCCCCTGGAACCTGGCCCCTGGCCCCCTTCTATTCCCCCTGCATGTCCCTTTACCTGCCTCCCTTCTCTCTCCGCTTCTGTACCTGACATCTAGTCCCCTTCTCTCACCCCCCCCCCATCCGGCACTTGGCCCCCTTCTCTCCTCCCCTCCCTCAGAACCCGGCACCTGCCAGTGGAGCCCTTGGCTGTTCCCAGGGACCCTCTCCACCCCCCAGCACCTGCAGACTGGGCCCAGGGCAGTGATTTCAAAGCTCCTGGCACATTCTCCATTCCCACTGTTTGCTGCTGGGGCTGGGTTTGGCTGGAGTTTGGGGCGAAGGGCTCAGTCTCTCGCTTGACAAAGCCCTGGCCGGGATGATTTAGTTGGGGATTGGTCTGCTTTGAGCAGGGGGTTGGGCTAGATGACCTCCTGAGGTCCCTTCCAACCCTGATATTCTATGATTCTTACCTGCCCTGTGGGCTCAGCTGAGCAGCCTGGCCCGTGCTATGCACATCTGGCCCCTAGGAGCTGGACACCCCTGTGAAGAGCTTCTTACAGTGCTGCCATGGTTCCTTTGGAGCTGCCCAGACCTGCCCAGTGACCTGCCCACCCCCTTCCTGGGTTAATGGAGCCTCTCTCTTCTAGGAGCTGGGAAGATCTGCGGCTGCCCACAGAACTGAGCTGGGGCTGAGCCCATTGGCCTGGGTCTGCTTGCCCTGTGGATGGGCGTGGTACAGATTTGCTGCTAGCGCAGACTTTGCTCCCTCTGCGATAGTTTGCCAGGTGGCTGGAGGCGCTGCAGCAAGAGAGGGCCTGTGACAGCTTGCCTTGCGTGGGGGGAACATGGAGCGTGGCATCACGGTTGAGAACCCCTATGCCAGCGTGAATATTCCGCGAGGTCAGCTCAAGAACAGCTTCATTAAGCACTACCTGGGGGAGGAGCTGCCCTCGCCCACTGTCATTGTTAATCCTGGGGCCGTGCCCACCTACCCAGCCATAGAGCAGCTGAATGGTGCCAGTAAATCGGTGCCACTGGATAGTTCGGATGGTTCAAAAGTCATGACGCAGGAGTCCTGGGCCCAGCCATATAACCCTTATGCCAGCCTGAAGCTGCTGAACGGGGCTTCCTCAGCCCCGCTGTACACCATCGAACTAGACAAGCACCAAAAGAGTCCTGGGGTGGGCACGGACCGTGGCTGCTGTAAGTACTGCCCCTGCTGCCGGAAATGCTGCTGTGTTGTCTCCTAACACCACAAGCCCTGACCCCTTGCCACACCCAGACTGGCACCCTGCTGAGATGTCACCCTGAGCCAGCCTCCTTAAGGAGGTGGGATCCTGCTGGTAGAACTGCAGCAAGGGGGCTGGGATGGGCAGCCCCAGAGATATGTTGCCCATCCTAGCAGGAACTGTGGGATGCCTATGGGGGCAACCGGAGCCAACAGCAGCCTTGCAGTCTCCTGAGACTCTCAGTGGTCTTTGGCTTTCTCAGGGATGCTGAGGTATGGGGTGAGGTGTGACTATATTTGCCCTGGTCGCAGGGCGGCTTTCTAGACCTTGTTTATCCTATGGAAAGTGAGATCAGGTACCTCGGTGATGGGCATGTAGCAGTGATGTGCTACCAGCATCGTGGCCAGGCCCCGGGGGAGTTTCAAGACATGCTGATGAAGCCTGGAGTGCCTTGTGCAGTGCCCTGTGGTGGAAACACGACCGCTTGCTCCCACTGACTGTCTGTGCTGGGGAACAGCCCTGATGCAACAGGCCATGCAGCTGTGCTGACCCCCGCTCAGACAAAGACATGCCAGGGTTTCACCCATTGGAGAAGCAAGAACCTGAGCTTGTGGGGGGCTGAGCAGTGTTTTAGGGGTGCTTGTGGATTCCCACTGCTCCTCCTTGTGGCTGGGGCATGCTGGGAACAGTCTTGCCTAGCTGTGAAGGCTGTGTGCCTCTTGATTCTGTGGGGAAATGGCCTTGCAAACCAAGGCCTTGTCTACACATGACAGTCATGGTACAATTCTCTAGTGTGGCTGCAGTTAGACTGGGGGAAAGGTGTTCATACTGGTCTAGCATTTCGGTAGGGGAAAGGGAATGAGCTCTACTGTATGAAGCGCCTGGATCCTACTCTAGCTGTGTCCACACTAGGACTTGGGCTGGTGGAACTGGGTAGGTAACGCTCACACCCCTGACCAACGTGGTTGAGAGGTACAAACTCTGTTTGCTAAGCAGTTTGGAATGAGGATTCTGCCAGTCCTTGGCTGCTCACCCTCCTGACAAAGGAAGGAAACACACCCAGGACAAACAAACAAAGCAGCTTGGAGAATGTGCTGGGCTCTGCTCTGGGGATGTGCCATGGCTGGACACACTGGCCTCTCAGTCTGAACTCATAGTGGTAGGAGACTGTTCTGACACCTCACACCCCTCTGTGCTGGGGACAAGCACGGCTGGCAGGAGCCGCTTTCCAGGGGTTGGTGGCCTGCTGCCGCACAGGCAGGGGCTGTGCACTTGTGACCCCAACTTGGTCTGGAGAGGGGGCAGCTGGCCAGCCCTGCTCTACGTGAGCAGTGAGGCCTGGCCAGTGCAAGGCTTTTGATGTTAGAGCTGGTACTGCTGTGGGACTAGTGCAGGCTGCAGAGGAGGGTGCAGAATGAAATGGGGAGGGGAGGGAGTGGGACAAGGGGCATGCAGGACCTGCCAGGCTCGAAGCCACTGGGGTTGCCAGATGACCAGGACTAGGGTGTAATGAGTCATTGGGTCTGTTCCCTTGGGAGAATTCCTAAAGCATAAGCCCCAGCCCTGATGTGGGGGGCAGGGCCAGGGGGAGTAGCGGTGCTGTCCTCTGCACGGGCAGAGGGGCACCAGCTGGTTGGGTAATGAGTAAAGGGAATGAGGCAGCACCCCTCTGCCCTTTACACTGGGCGGCTCTTGCCATGCACTGCAGCTGGCTGATTGCTGCGCAGTCCCTCTACAGCTTGTCAGTGTCACCCCAGACTTGGCTTTCCTGCCAGACGCCGGTTGTTGCCCCATGCAGCGCTGGTCCTAGCGGCTGCAGCTGCCTGCTCCCACCTGCCTCACAGGTGAGTTTCTGCTCTAGAAAAGGGCTGTTTCTGTTACAGCAGCTGCACTGTGGGGCTTTTATCACTGTGCAGGCGTTTGGGGCACAGTGGTAAAACTCCCCGAGCCCTGTGCTAGCACTTGCCCCATTGCTAGACCTGCTGCATCACTTCTCGAGAGCAGCCCCTGCCACTGTCTCTGGAGCAAGCGCCCTGACTCTGAGCAGTGCTGTAGGAGGGGGCAGGGACCATGCCCAGTGCCCTATGTGCAGAATCTCAGCTTGCCCAGCTCGGAAGATTCTAACCGTTCTGTAGGCTGGAATTCAGCTTTTATTTGTTTGTAATCTGTACAGATCGTATCAAGGGTTATTTTAAAGAACATTTTTAGTTTTATTGATTTAAATTTTCACAGTAGGGGAAGTTATTGGAGGGTCAGAAAATGGAGGGTCAGACAATAATTATTTAATGACAGTAGACGAGGAGATTCAAAAAGTTAAAGGTTTATAACCATAAAACACAAATTGTCAGTGTACAAAGTAAGTAGGCAATGTAAGAAAAATGCTGCTTTGATATAAGGCTAACTGTAAATTTTGGGTATTATCAATGGAAATATTTTTGGTCCGTTTCGGTGTGTATGGTGAAATCGATGTTCATGGATATTTACTGATAAAAGTCTAACCCTTCCAACCCTACCTTTATGATTATAAAGGAAACCTTCCCCATGGGACTCAGTGAGGGCTCACTGTAAGACAGCCTGAAACAACAGGCACTTTGGATGGGCTAGCACCAGCAGGAGAGTGAATTTGTGTGGGGGGGTGGAGGGTGAGAAAACCTGGATTTGTGCTGGAAATGGCCCACCTGTTGATCACTTTAGATAAGCTATTACCAGCAGGACAGTGGGGTGGGAGGAGGTATTGTTTCATATTCTCTGTGTGTATATAAAGTCTGCTGCAGTTTCCACGGTACACATCTGATGAAGTGAGCTGTGGCTCACGAAAGCTCATGCTCAAATAAATTGGTTAGTCTCTAAGGTGCCACAAGTACTCCTTTTCTTTTTGCGAATACAGACTAACACGGCTGTTCCTCTGAAACCAGTGTTTCAACTGTTTCACTGCTGATCACTGTAGCAGAAACACCCAGCTAATTTTTACTTGCTCCTAACCCTAGCTGCCTCCCAGATATCTATCCTCAGGTACCAAAAGCTCCCACTGTCTCCTGCCCAGCTGCCAGAACTCCCCCCCCGCCAATGTCCTGGAGTGTTTCCAGCCCAGAACTCTGCAGCAGGGGGGCAGTGTAAGATCCATGGAACGGGATGTCACTGGGATGCTGGGCATACAGTCCAGGGGGATGGGGTTCCATGCTGTGGGACCAAAGAGCCATGCTGCAGAGCTCCAGCTCGTTGTGGCCTTCACCCAAGTGCATTGAGCCAGGATCGCCCGCAAGGAGTGACCCAGGAGCCCATCTGTGCCTCTTGTCCCTCAGCTTCGTTACTCCCCCCCTCCAGGTGATCTAGAGCAATAGTCCAGTTGTACTCCAACTAGTGCTTCCAAAGACCAGTTTGTCCCTTGCCAGGCGAGCGTGAGCGCTCCATCCACCGCCGCCAGTCCCTGGATCACAAGCTGCAGCGTAAAGGTTGCATGGGGTGTCCAGCCCCCATCTCTGAGGGGAACTGCAGCGCATGCCTCCCATAGAACCCCAGGGCTCTCAGGATGAGGCCTGTGGCTTGCCTGCCAGGGTGCCATGCAGCCGAGTTGCCAGGACTGGATGCTGCTGCTCCCAGCTCTGTATAGCTACAGGACTGCCCTTGCTGGGGCACAGCTGCACGTGGGCGGCAGAGGTCCTGTCTATAACACGACTGTGGGAGGAACCAGTTCCCAGCAGGGCTCACCCTGGACATGGTTAAAACCCAGACCTGGATTGATTGCACCTGAACTGTGCTAAAGCTTTGGGCTGTCCGCGGTGCTGCTGCTACACAGAGCGCCTGTGCTGGGAGGTGGGGCCCTGGCTCCGCCTGTGCTCTCGGACCCCAATCATCCCAGCCCCTGTGTGGAGCAGGTGATTCAGGATTTCACTGTAGTTGGCTCAGGTGGCTGCTGAACAATGCCTGGGCCCTGCTGAGAAATCTGGCATTTCCCGGTGTCCCTGTTGCTGTGAATAAAGTAATTCCACCTGTATCTAGCACTTGTGTTATTTCTTTGACCTCCTCTGCTCCCCTATCCCCTCCCCTGCTTTGTCACCTAGGCCACAGGTCTGTTTGGAGCTCAGCTGGGGAGCGGGAGGGGAAGCTCCATGTCTCCGGATGGAATAGGGGTTACCGGTTTCAATCTAGCCACAGGATGGGGAGGATTGGCTGGCTCCCAGAGGCAAGAGCACTGTCTCCAACCCTTTTACACCCAAGATCACTTTTTGAATTTAAGGGCAACCCAGGACCTACCCCGCCCCTTCCCTAAGGCCCGGCCTCAGTCACTTCATTCCCTCCCACCGCTCCATCGCTCACTCTCCCTGACCCTCCCGCACTTTCACCAGGTTGGGGTGCAGGAAGCAGTGCAGGCTCTGGGCTGGGGCTGAGGGGTTTGGG